TACAAATTAGGCCTATATGTACCGCTACGGTACTAAAAATAAATAAAATCCTTCTAAATTTTAAGTTTTATTCATCATTTAACTTAAATAAAACTTAGTTAATTCTATTTATATTGAGGTCTTAAAATTTATTTTCCATTTAGATTTAATGTACCGTAACCTGTATAACACAAATCAATAAAGTGTTTATTGTGGTATTTTGAAAAAAAATAACTCATATTCTGTGGGAACTGATACAGTCTCCAGTACCTACAAGAAGTCGTAAATGAGTCACAAAACACAGTTTTTCTTAACAAAATAATTCATTTTGATAACAGATGAAGAAATCACTCAACACTACAACAACAATCACCTTGACCGATTTGAGAACTGTTTAAAGATTACTGGAACAAGAAGCTTCCATTGTTTTATTCCTGTACCGGACAGTAGTAATGTTAGGCGCTTTGTAACCTCACTAGCAACTGAAAGCTGTAAAAATTACACTTCATACCAAAGACTCTATTGCATTTGTGTATGACAGTGGTGGGTGGCAGAGGTGATTTACATCAGTTATCAAAATAAAGATCCAGCAGGACCAACAACCAACCGCCTTTAAAACAAATTAGAAAGACCAAGCTTGGGTGCCTATAAACAAAGTTTTGAGAAAATTAAATCTCTTTTAACTGAAAAAAACCACTGGAAGGACAAACCCAAACTGAATGAAGAAACATCCAAACTTCCTAATTAGCATGACCAAAGTAGAACAAAAAAACACTAACAAGTAAAAAAAGTTGTATACTTTAAGAACTTGTCTTTCAAACAGCTTTTGTATGTGAAATTTCTAATATTCTTTATTAAAATGAAAGTGGTTCAATAAATTAATAAATGAGTTCAAAATATTTGGGCCTATTGAAAAAAGGTGTAAACCTGAATAAAAATAATCTGATAAAAAGTTTTTTTTTAATTTCACATAAGACAAGAAATTTGCAAGAAAAGGCTATACATTACTTTAAAGTAAGTTCGGTAAGTTTACATTAAATAAAATAATTACCTACACCTATAAATTAATTTTTAAGCTATCTACAGTACTAGCCGCGTTGGCCGAGCTTATGGGGTTTTTGCGATTTTCATGATACTGTAACTTAGCTTAAAAGTAAATTTCAAAGATGAAATTCATACAGCAGTATAACAACCATAAGAGGGGTTTTTGGTAAAAAAATTCAGATTTTTTAACTTTGTCCCAACAAAGATATTGAGACTCAAAATTTGAATTTTTCAAAAAATTTCAGTTTTTGAAAAATGATAACTTTTAAAGGAATTAAGTCTCATGGTTGATATTTGAAATACAAACAGTTCTACTGAGTTGCTACACACACAAAAAAAATCAAGTCTGAGATTTTATTCGTTCCAATGGTAATACGCCTTCAAAAGTTGAAATTTTCCCGTTTTCTTATGAAATGTTGAGATGGGTTTAAAACTGTTTTTGATACACATTTCAATAAATATGTACTGAACATAATATTTAGGCTGTTTCTTCCAGATTAAAATGCTTTTTGTTTCATCACTCTAGTGTTCATGGTTACCGAGTTGTGCAAGTTAACACAAACCCTTACATGAGCAAAAATTTGTGTGTTCCGCAAAACAAAAATGGCCGCCGTAGGAGTAACAAAATAGATAAAAAATTTTTAAAATCACTTTTGAACCCAGAATTGATAAAGGTATCTAGGATAAAAATATTATTTATTTTAAAAATGGTCAAGCAACCCCTGTTGGATAACTTGATATGGATAGACCCGTTAGATTTATTTAGATCTTATTTGTCAAACAGAACACAGTATGTAGTTTTGGGAGAGGATGCATCATCTATTAAGCCTGTGTATTGTGGAGTTTCCCAAGGATCTGTGCTTGGGCCTCTGTTGTTTTTGGTAGTAGTTAATGATTTAAGTGTTAATATCCCTGCAAATATTGTATTATATGCCGACGACACAACCATCATTACTAGACATGCAGATCATGAACAACTTTTGGTTGACTCTATGCATAATCTAAAGCTAGCTGAAAACTGATAAATTTCTAATAATCTTCTTCTAAATAATGATAAGACAAAAACTGTTTTGTTTAACCTTCGTGAAGTACACAGTAGGCCAATGGATGAGAGAAATCCAAAATTTTTAGGATTAACTTTTGATTCTACTTTGACCTGGCATGACCATGTTATAGTTTTAAAAAATAAACTGAGTTCAAGTATATTTGCTCTTAAACAATTATGTGGCGAACTAGAACGGCCTTCTCTCATACAGGCATACTATGGACTTTTTCATAGCCATATAAGCTATGGGTTGCTTGTTTGGAGGTCTTCTGCTCATGCAAAAGAAATTTTCAATTTGCAGCAAAAGGCAATTAGGGTAATAGCTGCTGTAGATAGGCACCATGATTGCACTGAATTTTTTAAAGAATACCAAATATTAACACTGTTTTCTCTATTTATTAAGCAATGCCTGTTATACTTAAGACCACAATTAGATAAGTTAGATTATAGGAGAGATATACACTGCCATAATACTCGCCATAAATGTAATATAAATCTTCCTTATGTTAGACTTGCTAAAACTGATAAAAAACCATTAATTTTAAGCAGTAAATTTTACAATAAGTTACCAATAGCCATAAGATTACTTAATGATAAGGATTTCAAGATTAAAATAAATAACTTTCTTTGTAATCAGCCATTATATTCAATAGAAGATTATATGTCAAGAACACTGACTCCACTAGATTTCAATTAATGTTATATTTTATGACTAATTTGACGTGCCAATGTATTTGTATGGAATATTAACTGGCAAATAAAAATCTCATTCTCATTCTCATTCTCAATGCCAGACAATGTCCTTAAATGTTTGATGGGCCATAATTTTATTGATCGCTAGTTGGTTAGGAGCACATAAAAGGTTTATCAGATGTTTGTTTACATTTTCATAATTTATTACTAGAGTAATTATGCAATAAAAATCCCATTAACAATCTCAAACCCATTAATATTTTATCACAATCAAGTGTCAAGTCAAGTACTTCCAAGAACTGTTGACTCAGCAGCTAGCTCATAAAAGTTGTATCACTTTTATTCCTTTACAACTTCTTTTTTTATTACTAGGGTAATTATTATTAGATCCCAAACCTATTTTATCTTGAAAATAATAGCTTTATAATGGCTGTTGTAAGTTAACCCTTTTTTATGGACATTTTATCTTTCAATTGACAAAACCACAAGCATTGTTGTTTGCATTAATGTTTTATCACTATGTAGGCCTGCTTGGTTTCAAATTATGTCATTGCATTTTCTGTATCTTTGTCTTATATTGTTGGCTATTCAGGTTTCAATGTTTTTTGTTTCCCATATATTTATTTATTGAGTTGTATGCTTTAAGCAATCAAAATCTTATGAACTAGAATGATGATAGTAACTTTGCTGCTATTATAACCTCATTGTTTGTTACTCAGTTTATATAGGCCCTCCTAAATAATTAGGTCTAGGCCTGGGTATTTTGATTCTTGAAAGAGCTGTATAATATATTAAGAAAATGTAATTGAGCCTAAGATAAACAACTAATGATAGCTATGTGTCGATATTAACTTTACAAATGAAAATACAATAATCTTACTCTGTGCTTATTGCTTATTAATAGCCGCTTACCATACCTTGATTTTGTACTAAGAATTGAGTAACAATATGCATTAAAGATTTTTTTTTCAAAAGTAGTCGAGATCCTAACGTTGTGCCAGGGCGAATCATGCCAAATTAATCCGCCTGGATCGGATAAGCTATGTTATGAAGTTTACGTGATGGATGGAGATATTTGTCGCTATCGCAGGAGACAATGATTGCGTTTCTCTGTTACACTATAAAAGCTTTACCTAAAGTATAGGTAGGCCTATGTTTGTGTTACTTTCAATAAATTTCTATTTTGTAATTTTTAACTTTTATCTATTATTATTTACTTTTCTCTCTGGTACAACTACAGTGAATAACAAGATTAATACAGTTTGACAAATCAGGAAAATTATTCGGTAGGCCTAATGACACCGACAAAGGTTACGGCAAAGTGTCCTTAAATGTACGGGAATTGTCCATGAATTTTTTATCCAGAATGTAGTAGACACCCTGGATTCCGCATCCCGAAATTTCCGTTCCGCATGGCGGAGAAATCATACTGGTCTGAGAGCAGTAGCAGTGCGGATTCCGCCAGCGGAGAAGAGCCATCAAATATTGTGACCGTGCAGTTTCGGATCCTTAATGGTGTCACCCGCTGGGGGCTAGGAGGATTAACATTAATGTTTTATCTTCCTAGGCCAGAGGCCACATTGGTTATAAATACGGCCCTATTATTATGCAACCAGTTTTGACTGCGCCTTCACACAATCCACGAGGACAGTTAATGCAACCTGCATGACTGAAGACAATTCTTTTACTTGGTAGGTTGGTAGATAATTTATATCGATCGGTCAAGTAAAATATAATAATAGTGTTAGTTTAGCTGTTGTAAACTACTCGAACTATAGGTTTGAACAAATTTTCATAATAAAAAACGTATTTTAATTCTCATATAAATATTATATTGTCATGATAGGGGACCTGTGTGGCTGAGCCTGTCACACTATCGCGGGCCCGTGTGCCGGTAAAATTTACCTAAAATCCCGGTCAAGGCTCACGGGACCCCTTGCTCGCGGGCCCCTTAACCCCGCTAACGTCGCCACTGATTCTTAGTTTGTTTAAATATTACAATGAGTTGTTTTACATTTTGAGCTTTTTAGATGCACCTAATATATACTAAGTTATTACCAAGATAGGACAGTAACGGACTAATTAATTTACTCGCCAAGCTCTAAATGACCTTCATTGTTTTAAATTACTCATCCTCATTGTGCACTCTTCACATGCTGCCTCAGTCGACAACACAGCAGCGAAGCCTTGTTAATACTTCTGTGTGTATGTTGCCTAATCATATTCACTTTGTTCACAGATACACCTCTAAACCTGTCCAAGGATGCAGGCTGACGACTGCATAGCCTGGCAATAGCCTCCTGTCTGTGCCTTGCTTCAGCTGAATGGTTCTACATGCAGCCTTCCTTCATTCTCTACTCTGTGTTCTCTCATGTGTAAATATGTTATTGTACATGAACAAATTAATACTTTACGTTACTATTTTATATGATTTAAACATAACTATAACACTATTAACATTTGGTATACTCCATTAATTATATAAGAATCCTTAAAAATTACTGTATAATCATGATGAAATTACTTTTTAGCGAATTTCCCATATAGGCAATATTAGCGAATTCCCCATATAGGGAATAAGCTATTACCGTAGTACTCATGGTAAGACCTGGACGCAGAACCGATTTTACCAATTTACTTTTTTGTTTTGAGGTCCCTAGAAGCCAAAAACGCCACCCGTTTAAATTCATATATATATATATTTATATATATATTTTTATATTTATTTATATATATATGTGTCCGTTAGCACGATAACTCAAGCAAAAATGATACGATTTTGATGAAATTTAGCATAAACGTGTAAACCTACATTCATTCAAACGAGTTCGCAACCAGCATGATCGGACTATGGGAACGGGGATTTATGGGGGGTTTATTGGGGTAAAAAAAGGTTTTTCCCATTTTTGACCCTAAAAACACAAAATTTCACAATTCCTTTCCAAACCATTTTGTAGAGCTTAAAAAAAACAAATAATTTAGTATATTGAAGCGTTATTGTGCGCCTAATGGTTACGGAGAAAATTCCAAAAAATTGTAAATTTAAAATTCCTATGTTATTCTTAATAATAGTTAAGGGGAATAAATCAACTGTTGTAGTTTGCTTGTTTATGAACATATTTTGATGGAATTTGGAAAATACATGAATTTTTCACTAAACTATTAACATTTTACAACAAAAAACACTTTTTTACCCTCCCTGTTGCAGCAAACCTAAGTACAGTACTCGTTAAACTAATTCTATTTAAATCCTACTAATATTATAAATGAGAAAGTTTGGATGTATGTTTGTGACAAGTGAACGCGAAAAATACTGGTCGGATTGGGCTGAAATTTGGCATGATGATAGCTCACATTCCCGATTAACATATAGGCATATTCTTATTTCAAAAATCCTTTCGGGCTCCGCCCCAGTGGCTCTGGAGTTTCCCATGTTAACCTTATGAGAAATGGAATTATTGGATATTAACAGCTGTTTCAATTAAACAAGTTGGTTCTGTTCTATGATGTTCAATAGCATTAAAGTTACAAGGATTACCAACAGGGTGCAGCACTATTATTTCTTTTACATTTATGACAACAGCTAATTTGCAACCAAAAGGTGAGTGAGCGTAGCGAACGAACTTCAACCTGGAGGCGAGTTAGCGTAGCGAACGAGTTAACCTGAAGGCAAGTGAGCGCAGCGAACGAGCTCCAACCTAAAGGTGAGTGAGCGTAGCGAACAAACTTCAACCAGGACGTGATTGAGCCATGCGATCGAGATAATCTTGGAAGAAGTTAAACGGGGCAAAGCCCGCGGGTTACAGCTAGTACGGAATAAATGTGATATATTTAAGGAGGCATTTTAGTGTAAATCCAATCAGGCAAATGGAAATTCGCTTAGTCTGCAGGTTTGCTGTGGCAGGGGTATTTTTCAATTCCACCAATTTTTTTTATGAATTGCTTATGCTATGCTACACCAACCCTTATCTTTATGTTCTCAGACAAAGCAATTTAAAGGTCAATAATTGAGGTTTTTCAAGTAAAGAAAAAATAATCCAGCAATGAAAAATTCTTACTAGCCAATAAAAATTTAAACCCCTTTAAACACATTAAAAAATATTACATCAAAGGAAAATAAAGAAATTATAAACAAATATCAAAAAGAAAATTTTATTATTAGTGGTGTGCCTCAATCAATTGAAACTCGAGGGACGAGGTAATATTGTGACAACATAATCGTCTTCTGTGATCTCAGAAAAATATTACAAAACGTTTAAGAAAGAAATTGTAAAATTTTATATTTTGAGCATGAAAATTGAAGAACCATGTTCCCTCAGATCATGCTGGTTTGTTAACTCGTTTGTACCAAATTTCATCAAACTCGGATGATTTTTATTTTTACTGTGATTACAGATACATACACACATACACATATATCGTACATACATACCTATATATATATATATATATATTTAGGGCCTATATGAATTTGAACAAATGGTATTTTTTACTTCTGGGAACATCACAATGAAAAAAATATCAACCCCAAGTTTGGGTCTTACATTGAGACCTTCGGTAATAGCTTATTACCTTTATGAGTAATTTGCTAATTATAATTAAATGATCCATTATTCAAATAAAATTTTGAATGAGCTAAATACAGCCTAGTTTCTGTTGATAATAATTCAACAGTAGTGGGCAAAGTAATATGATTGAAACTCAGCTGTTTTGCTAACAAATTAACAAAATCAAATCAAGTGAACAAAACACTACTTTGACGCCAACTGTAGACAGTGGTTTTTAGCGAATTTCCCATTTAGGGAATAAGCTATTACCGTAGTACTCATGGTAACACCCGGACCCGGGACCAATTTACTTTTTCGTTTTGAGGTCCCTAGAGGCCAAAAACACCATCCGTTCAAATTCATATATATATATATATGTGTCCGTCAGCACGATAACTCGAGCAAAAATGATCCGATTTTGATGAAATTTGGTACAAACGTGTAAACCTACATTTATTCGAATGAGTTTGCGAATCAGCATGATCGGACTATGGGAACAGGGGTTTATAAGGGGTTTTATGGGGTAAAAATAGGTTTTTCCCATTTTTGACCCTAAAAACACAAAATTTCACAATTTCTTTCCAAACCATTTTGTAGAGCTCAAAAAACAAATAATTTAGTATATTGAAGTGTTATTATGCGCCTAATGGTTGCGGAGAAAAAATTGTAAATTTAAAATTGCCATGTTATTCTTATGTAGAATAAGTCAACTGTTGTAGTTTGCTTGTTTATGAACAAATTTTGTTTGAATTTGGAAAATACATTCATTTCTTACTAAACTATTAAGATTTTACAACAAAAACACTTTTTACCCCCCCCCCCCCCTGTTGCAGCAAACCTAAGTACTCGTTAAACTAATTATATTTAAATAGGGAATAAAATGTGATATTTTAAAGGAGACATTTTAATGTAACTCCAATCAGGCAGATGGAAATTCGCTAAGTCTGCAGGTTTGCTGCGGCGGGGGTATTATGGTTTTATTAAGATGTTTTTCTAACACCACCTACTAAAAGTGTCAGTCCGCAAAATCCTTTTTTTATTAGAGGCTTGAGTGACGTATCCTACTTTTAAGAAATCTCCTCAGCGATTTTTTATAATTTTTATTTCTTTTAAATAATGGTTTATTATGATAAACTTTTGGTTACTTTATTTCTAAAGGGATTTTAATTCTTCCCTTAGTTTTGAATAATTTTTATGCTAATTCACATTTATTTAGGTTAATTTATTTTATTTTCAATTCCTAGGCGTATTTTGTTAGTTTAACTATCTTTTAAACCCAGTTCTTTGCAATTGTATGCAATGCTTAACTTTAAAAAAAGGTAAAGTCCTAAATATTTGATCATAAGCTTGACCCAATTGAAAATACCAGACTGACACACCTTTACTTACATTACAAACCATATTGTCAGTTATATAAATCTAATGTTGTAATCTTGGAAGGTCCTCAAACAACTAGAAACATGTAGTTTTTTAAGTGTGCTTTAATGTAAATTACCAATTAATTAGGCAAGGGAGGGATAACAATTATTGGGTTATAAATCAGAGGATATCAGTGACGGGTTCCTGCTCAAAAGTATAATTATCAAAATAAATGCATAAATTTGAGTATCTGTGATTCTTAAGAGGGTTTTATATAGATAGAAGAAAGGTGACTTTAACTAGCATTACCAGGATTGTATATAGTTATTACTGAATAAATAATAATCAGCTATTTCTCTTGCTGCCTTAACACTCAAGCTAGACAATGAAGTTACAGAAATTAAAGTCAAATGTAGGCCTCCATGAAGATATGAACTATACGATTAAACACATTACAGTTACAAGAAAAAAATTTTGGTTTAAATGTTGGGTTAAATGAATATGTTTGACAACAAGTAACTTTTATTCATTTTATGATTTACAACAAGTTTACAATTATGATTTTTTTCCATAATTATCTTTCCGCTTATCCGACATGGCTCGACTGGTTTAGGTCGGATAATAGAGACTCTTATTATCCGACCTAAACCAGTCGAGCCATGTCGGATAAGCGGAAAGATAATTATGGAAAATAATCATAATTGTAAACTTGTTGTAAATCATAAAATGAATAAAAGTTACTTGTTGTCAAACATATTCATTTAACCCAACATTTAAACCACAATTTTTTTCTTTTTTGAAGCAATCACAAATAACAAAAAAAAAAGAAAATACAACAAAGTAAAACTGCATGTCTATAACTGTTAAATATAACACGAGCAGTGCTCAGCCACAGGTCTCCCGTTCCCACTAAGACCATAAGAAGTATGGTGTAACAGAGAGATATGCAGTGCAAAGTGTTAAAAAACTGTGTAATGGAGTACAGACAGAGTTTCAAAAGTGGTTGTCTTACTGCACTGAAATGGTATTCTTGATCTTTTGTAGGAAGGGTGATATACTACAGAAGGTCAGATAATCTAAACTCTACTAAATATTAAACACTGTGTTGGAATTCTATTTTGTACTGTTAAAGCTCTGGAATTAATTGTTAAGTACAAATACTGCATTCATTGTACTTGAGAGTAGATGGGACTGAAATTTCCTTTTTTCCATTTCTTTCCTTTTGTTCTCATCCAATAACCTTTGATCATGTGGGAAGTGTAAGCCAATGTTGTGCCGGTAGCATAGACTAATCAACACAAGTAGACTCCTCATCCCATTGTACATTTTGAAGCTTGTTTTTTGTGTCTAGTTCATGTACGTACGTCCACGCAGATCGCTAGTGTAAACAAAATTTTGTTTCTATTATTTAAGTGTTATTTTCATGATTTGTGCTTTACTATTTGGTTATATGACTAGAAGACCAGTTATTGTTTATGATTATGCAGTTTTATTTGGTTAAATGATGTTTTAAATGACTGAAATATCAAGAAACAAATTTCCAAAACATAACTTCTACAGTTGGACGTACAGAACTAACAATAAAATTGGCTTCAGCTGTTCCATAAGGATGACAAATCTACTAAGGGAGTGTTTTATCTATGCCGGTAGTCTCATGGCGTCATCAGCATCTGTTGTTGCTGTTCCAATGTGATACTAAGATACTGGTAGTGTTTTAATAACCCAGCTGTATTACTCTGTCATTGCTTGCATATTGTAAATATTTTATTATTTGGTTGATTCCAGTTTATGTCAATGATTAACCCAACAATTGTATGTTGCATTTTCCAGTGTGTAAATTTTAATGTAAATGATAATTCAACAGATCATGTGTGACTTAAAAATTAACCCTCCAACTGGCAATGGGCAAACTCTGTAGTGACAAGGCATTTTTGGCAATTCTTCAGTCATATTTTAGAAAATTCATATAAACTAAACCAACAGAGCAAACCTATTGCACTTAATACTTAAATTGTTTGTAATGAAATGAGGAATTTTAATACCCCCGCCGCAGCAAACCTACAGACTAAGCGAATTTCAACTTGTCTGATTACATTATTACTCAAATATTTCCATAAATAAGACATATTTATTCCCAATTTAAATAACATTAGATTTAACGAGTGCTTAGGTTTGCTGCTACGGGGAAGGTAAAAAGTGTTTTTTGACCATACGACAATAGTATAGGATGAAAAAAATAAATTTTCCAAATTTTATCAACATATATCCGTAAACAAGTAAACTACAACAGTTTTCATTTTCTCCATAAGAATAAAATGGGAATTTTAAATGACACTATTTTCGAATTTTCTCCGTGACCGTTAGTCATAAAACAGCGATTCAATATACTAAATTATTTCTTTTTTAAGCTCTACAAAAGTTTTAAAAATAAATTGCAAATTTTTTTGTTTTTAGGGTCAAGAATGGGAAAACCCCATTTTTACCCCATAAAACCCCCATAAACCCCCGTTTCCATGGTCCAATTATGCTGGTTCGCGAACTTGATCAAATTAATTTAGGCTTACACGTTCGTAGCAAATTTAA